GCTAAACAAGCTATCTCAGAGTGAGTGCTGAAGAGAGGTAAAGAGAACTGTGGATACTTTCGACTTGGCCTACTGGGTACCGACTTTTCGCTGCTAAACCTGAAGTTCATTTCGGACGTTTAGCAGAACAGGGCAGAAGCCCATTAGAGATCGGGTCGTAGAGTTAGCCTATCGGAGCTTCAGTTATCATCCTATTCCTCCTGAGTACGCACGGGAACTATGAATCCTCAGATCCCACTACTTGTGCAGTTTGTACTTCATATCACTTCAGTCGTAGTCTGTCGTTAATGGTTTGCGATATGGCCATACGGAGCAGCCTTCATTCCAGTATGACATGCCCGGCTGTCCAACGTTGCCTCATCGGCTTGTCGCTATCTGCGACATTTCTGCGGATCCAGGAGGTTCGATTGAGTTCATGGCAGAATGCACCACAATCGACAAGCCGTTCACGATCTACGATGCCGATTTCCATACTACGAGTGATAGGTAAGTGGAAGTTTAACATTGAAAATATGGCGTACACTAGTTTGGCATTGAATAAATTCTGAAGGGGGAGGGGGTCAACAGATCATTCCTGCCACTGCGATGAGGCCTTTAGTAATGTGTACGTTTTGAGACGTTAAAACAAGGTCCGAATTTGAATTCGCCTGAATGAATTCTTGGATAAAGTTGTGACAAAGTTTACCAGTATGGTACCTCTCGGTATTGTGGGTGTGGTGCAGTAGGAACGAAATTGTCGCTTGCACGAAGAAACGTCGCGCGCGAAGGAATGTAGCAGAATGTAGCAGCAAGTAAGAAATACAGAATTAAAAGAACTAATAGTAGATCGTGCTAAGAGTAATGATCGCATAGCGATTGAGCTGTATGAAGAACGCTAGAACTGTTATAACGAGGCAAATGTTCCGCGGCAGCCGCGTGCGGCGGATCGACTACATAAGACCGTTCCTGCTGCCCGTCTCCCTGGTATAGTCACCCATTCTATTGATTAGATCTGGAGTACATTGTGCAAAAAGCAGTGGTAGCATGAGGCCACACTCGCTGCTTGGGAAGTGGAGGTCTTCGATACACTTTTTTTCTTTCTCATCACGTTTACATATACACTTCTGAAGGAAGCTTCTAGTGTGACATGTGATCTAGCTGCTTTGCCTCGTTAGTATTAGAGGCTAATTTGCGTCTAGAAGGTTTTGATAAAGACAAATGCTTAAAGAATCCTACTCTACGAGGTTCACTTCCTCACATACTGCACAGCGGAGAAAAAAGATGGGAAGCATTAAACTATTCAAAAGAAACACCTTTGAAGTTTTCTAGAAGGGTCAAAAAACGAGCACGTCAGAGACAGAACGCTCACGTCCCAGGCTCGACCTTACCTGAAGGTTTATCACTTGTTTTTGTGTCGCCATTTGAGCTTTACTCGAATTGCGGACGCTTTCAAACTGAGTAACACCGAGAAAATTTTGTTGGAACTAGTACGGCAGGCAGGTTTTGTAAGCAGCAAACCTTTCAGCAGCTTCCGGGGCTTATTCAAATAGGCATCTCATAAGAGCCGGTACTCAGTATTGGTTGCGTTTGAGACGGAATTAATATCTGATAGTCTTTTGCAGCTTCGACTCTCCATCCGGTTGCCTTGTGTGCAGTATCGACAACATGCCAGCCCAGATGCCTTTAGAAGCCACCTCGCAGTTTGGTGATTTACTCTATCCGTACATCTTCGATATGGTGAGTATCGTTATCGTGCTTATGATAGGATTCCTTATTCTTTTGAGAAAACCATAGCCTATGACGCTCAACTTCGCTCTTGAAACTGCCCTGTTCTGTTGCTCAGCAGTGACTTTGCACTTGTTGAGTATGTGTGGGATAACTTGTTGTTCAAATAATCCTCTCTATAATTGCAGCTTTGGTGCCTAAGTCTGCCTAGTTTGTCGTGAAATTAGGTTCCACCTGAAGACCCGGAGAAATTGGGTCAAGTTTTGGAGGGTTGGGCCCAGAGTAAGATTAACAGAGGACATGTGAGCTCCCGGAGCTTCACCCATAGATGCAGGACGTGCACCTTAGTGGGCTGTGCATGTGCAGAACTTCCTAATTTAGTTTCATAATTCGAAGATCTAGCAAAACCCGCCTACAATGGACAGGACAAGAACTTTTTGAAAATACAGTAGCGCTCAGAAGTGTTCGGCAAAATGCTTGTTCAGTTGTACTTTTCAGTCGTAACTTCTTTCCTACTGATTCTTATTCTGCGAAATTTCAATATGTGTAGCAGTGGTGTAGTGTGAATATTTGCCACTATCAACCTGCATTTTGATCATGTTCCAAATATCCCAAAGCGCTTGAAATCAAAACCAACTGAAAATAGGCGCATTGGTACTTCTAGGATTTTTTTCCTTTTTGCCATGTCCAAAGTGTACGAGCGCTGATGCGGAACATAGAAGAGGAGAAAAACGCAAATAAGGTGCGAATAACTGCAGACGTCACAAACTTGCTTTCAGCATAGCCTGCAAACGCCTTCCCCTTAGTTATGTGGACATTGCTGCTTTGCAGTCCAGTTGTATAGGATAGTGTGAATATGCTTCAGTTAAACATTTCAAAATTTCATGCGGTTTGCTCCACTGAGAAAAAAGTTACTGCCGAAAAGATTTGGCCGCGTACTTTTGAGCGCTACTGTATATACTCTCGTAAAAAACCGACTAGAGCATAGCAAAAAAAAAAATGAAAAGTTAGGTGGAGTCAAGTTCAAAATCCACACCTCTGCGTAGAAACGATCAAGAACCCGGAAAAAGTCATTGGAGGCCGACGAAGAAAGATTGGTCGAGCCTCATAAAGCTGCGAGCATGCAGTGGGGCTCACGGAAAGGTGATAGTATTGAAAATTGCCCTACAAATCCTAAAAATTGTTCAGCTTCACGTTGGGCGTAGTTAAGATCGGAAATTCCATTACTATCTCTTCTGTGTTCGCCAAGCGCGACCAAGCTAATCTATTGTTAGCTGGCTACATGTTCATTTACACGAGCGCATAACCGCCTTCCATTTTCTCCAGTACAGCGAATTCACATGTCGAACACTGAGCCTAGTAAACCACCGCTCTGATCATCCACTTATATCCGGTCATAAAAAGGATCTGAAAAACTGGTTTTAAGTGCCCTTTGAAGTGTTGACCAAGGAGACGTCATTGGCTAGATCCGGCATTGATGTATGACTGATATAATTGAGAGAAAGAAGATAAAAATTATTTTTTAGTTCGCATTCCTCTATTTTGTGGGGTACGCTGCCATCTTCTTGAATGTTCTCGCTCCTTGTCACCAGTGACTACCTCCACAGCCGTTTCGTACATGTTTCGTATTACTCGCGTTCAAAGCTTTGGGGTGTGCCAACATTCATTCATTCACAATGGTGATATTCCTAAGGCTTCCTCTCCATGCCACTTCATACTGTGTTTTTTGGTAACCCTTACCCGAGTAGTCAGGAATGGCAACCAGCCTTCGTGCGAGACTTCTCGAGCTTCTGTTCGATGCGTTCTTTGCGTGATACGCGCCTTTCAGAGTAGCTCAACTGGTAATACCGTAACATATTAAAAGCAATAGGGAAACCATGAAAAATCCACTTCTCAGAACTGCCCTATAGAGACAGTATTAGTCATTTAACATATGAATGTCACCAGGATCAATCCTTCGCCATCAGATATTTTGCAGCTCAACTGTGCTACCGACCAGCCTTTCGACCATTTGAGTTGCCGTGAAGAAGTGAAAGGTGCGATAATCACGACGGACGGCAAACTTGCTCCTAGCTACGAGTACATTTCTGATCTTCGCAAAGCAAAGATGTGAGTTTACACAATGTGGGTTTTGCCTTCAGTCTCTGGACGGAAACGAGACCAGAGAAAGTAGAATAATACAATAGTTGGGTCTAGGGCATTTTGAAATAGACGGGTCCTACGATGATTTTGGGGTGCCATTTACAAGTCTTACAGAGAAACAATATGCAATAGATGCAGAACCTGCATTACCTTCAGCTCGTTCGAGTCAGTTCCCACTGGATTACTGTAAACGCCATGTGTATGAGTTGTTCTACCCAAACGATGTTCCGCGCTGAGCCATAGGCAGATATCGTTGGAAAGAAGGCTGTCTAACTTTTGTTGCGTTCTAGCGCAGCGTGACGAAGGCGTCGGCAGGATAGGCGAGCAGCAAACGCCTCTGAGTTTGGAGATCCTAGAGTCTATGATTTGCTGGAATATGTCTTGTGCGATTTCACTCCGAAAGGCAAAGGATCATAGCGATAGAACTCTCGGTACGTGCTGATGTCTTCGGTGGGGGTAGCGGTTGAACGTGAAGGAACTTCAAGGCCGCTTTCATGATCGTGGAAATCTCAGACCCAAAGAAAGGACCACTCAAGACGTGAAATCTGTACAGTTCTGAGACAATGACTCTCTCGGCATTTCATGGAGCAAGCAGATTTCCGACTTGGACCCCATTCCATTGACCCCATGTAAAGCACCTCCTCATGGATGTATCCAAGCCCTGGACGCTGCACCAAGGTGAAGGCGACGCTCTCCTCCAATCCCAATAATGTACGCAACGTTCTTATTGGGAAAGAACCGTTTTCATGCCTCCGTACAGATTATCGGCGCGGAGATCGATAGTCTCCTCACCCAAACGTCAAAGTCTGCCTGAGTCATCCGACTCAGGCAGACTTTTCGACAAGACTCAATGACCGCTGCTTTTCAACATCAGCACGTACCGAGAGTTTTATCGCTATACCACCACATCGCATCTGCGGGCGTAATCTCATATCCACCCAGGCTGGATGGGAAATAATGATGACGTCGGATTTTGTTTACTGTGGGCAGGTGGGATATCGTCGTTGTTAACTTTCAGATAGTTTTGAAGGCGTTGACCGATGACGCGTTGGTATCACGTGCGCAATGACAACTGCTTGTGCTGACGTCGTAGTCGTAGTGTAGTCCCAGTCCTTGAGTTCCGAGCGATTCTTGAGTCATCTTTGACTGACTTCGAAGCGTGCTGTTTGCCTAGATCGTCGGCGGTAATCTTCTGGTCTTGGTCTGTTTTAGATAGGAACCGAATACTGTAATCAGCAAGTGTTGGAGCTCGAAAGGCGGCAGCCTAGCAAGGCATTCTAGTGCTTACGACTTGATGCCGGAGTTCCACTACTGATTACGGGCTTCCAGCACGTTAGAGAATGACGGTGTCCCCGACAGTTTTCAAGTCAGAAGGATTGCAGTTTTTTTACGAGCTTTAAGAGGTAGGGCGCCAGAGCGAGCGTAATGATCACCTCGTGCGGAGAGCGGGATGAGGGAATAATTGAACATTCAGCTGATCACTGATTCATTCCTTGCAGAAGTGTAAGCGATGACGAGCTAGCATACTGCATTTGCTCAGAAAGCATCATTATGAGCCTGCAGAGACGGCTGGCTTATCTGGGCTCTAGAGCACATTGTTAAACAATGGGGGTGGGCAGAACATCGATATGAAGTGAGTCAAGGGTTATTGACCATAGAGAATGAAAACAGTAAGAAGGTAGGGTTCCTATAAGAAAATGGGCTCTTCAATAGAAAAACTTGCTACAATTGGCTGAGAGTTTCAATTTTGTGCAAGATAGAAAAAATCAGTAAAATTGAGAATAACAGCTCACGGAAATGAGCTAATATTCTGCTTCCCCTACACTTCACATCTCACCTGTGCATCGCAAAAAATTCCTGACCAGCACTATTGAATTTTTTCAGTTCACACCATAATTTGTCTTAAGATGCTTCGCTTCCTTAGTTACTGTTGCCACTCTTGTCGCACATTTACCTTTTACTCGCTTAATAACGTCGTCTGAGTCGTCGATCCTCATATCTTCTCCTCGCTCTCGCAGCCTGAGACCATGTTCTAGTTAGGGACGCCCATAACGATACGGCGGGTCAAGCGGGACCATATAAAGCGTGGTCCACACTTTCACCTCGAACAACGTCAAGGGCGAGACTTAGGTTGTGTGGTCTATGGACTAAGACTTTATTATTATAATTCTTTGTTTTCATAGCGTGCAAATCCGCACATACTATTTTGATTATTAGACCTTTGTTCCGTTATCATCAGAGCAAAGTTAAAGGTTTCGGAGTCATGAAAAATCACTGAACCACCTTCACGCTCAAGCATGATAGCGTAAGAATCCCGGAATCTTCACACCTAATTAAGATCGGCTCGCATCAAGGTGCGAAGTGACCTCAATCCCTCAGAAGTTCACCACCCTGCCAATACAATTGCCTTTTTACCTAGGTTCGCTATCGCCTAATTCTGACTGATCAACAAGAAATTGCCCCTCTTGGCTTTAACAGAGACAATATAAAAGTTCTGAATGCATCATCCTGCTTGTATTATTCAACTGATCTTTTATCTCTTCTTTAATCCTTCCTGGTTAAACTCCCTTACGAACTTTTCTAGGTCCGAGTGTCAAGTATTGTCCTCCAATCAGCCTTAGGATCGTTTCGTATCAACTTATCGTTTGTATGGCGCCGTTTCCTAAAGCCTTAATTATTGTGATTGAAAATATGTGAACTTAAATCTATGGTGTTTTCAGTACATCCTCACATAAATCGCCTGTTATGGGGAGCGATGAGAAAAAAGTTCTTCTTCTTGGGGCTGGAATGGTCAGCGGTCCGTTTGCTGACTTTTATTCCAAGCAAAACAAGGTCTGCCTTTGAACCTGAATTTAAAGTTGTGTAGACTCAGAGATTTCAAAGAAGCGTTCAGGTTCAAGTGACAGTGGCTACTGAATCGCGTGAGGACGGTCATCGTTTGATGAGGAGTGATAACATAACGTCCCTCGTTGTTGATGTAAACAGGGAGCATGACGTGTTGGATCAACTTGTGAGGTAAATTGCTATCCTGAATGTATCGCCGTTTAGGAGAAGATCAATAGCAACTAGAAATGTCTTTGCAGTGAGCACGATCTAGTCGTCTCTCTTCTCCCCTACGTATTCCATCCAAAGGTAGCCAAACTATGCATCAAGAATAAAACTAACATGGTAACCAGTAGTTACGTAACGCCCGAACTCCAGGAACTGGATCAAGCGTGAGTTTGCCTCATTTCCGGTAGACTCATAAAGTTGACGTTTTGTCAACGTTTTATGGGATCTCTTACCTATTTTTCGTCCTCGCTAAAGGAAATTTATCTCTTTCCTTCTGAAAAATATGGTTTAGAGCCAAAAATGCAGGCGTCACAATTATGAACGAATCTGGCTTGGATCCAGGAATTGATCACATGCTTGCTATGGAATGTTTTGATGCAGTCAGAGAGCATGGAGGAAAGGTTGGTGAGAGCGATTTCTTTTTGTGTGTAAAGCATTTATCTCACTTCTACAGATAACCTCGTTTGTTTCCTTCTGCGGCGGGTTACCAGCGCCAGAAGCTTCTGACAATCCTCTCCGTTATAAGTTTAGTTGGAGTCCGAAAGGTGTTCTGACGGCCCTTTTGAACCCTGCCAAATATCTTCATAATGGAAAGGTGAGTGTCCTATAAATTGAGATGAGGGTACCTCGATGACTGAAGGTTTTATGCGATGGTAAAGTTTATTTCTTGAAGATTGTGGAGATCCCCAGTGGAAAAGTGGTTGATCATCTGTATCCAATAGAATTTATGCCTGGATTTAATCTTATTGGGTATGGCAACCGCGACTCAACAAAGTATGCCGACATTTACGGGCTCGACTCAGATTGCAAAACTTTGATCCGAGGAACTCTCCGCTACAAGGTGAGCTTAGCCCTTTTTGGACAGGGGGTTTGAAGGCAGGATTCGAATTCAAATTTTTCAGGGTTTCGTGGAAACTGTAAAAGCTTTGGACTCCGTGGGATTGCTGAATACTGAGCCTCAGGATGTATTCAATCCCGTTATGGGCCCTGATTTGACATGGGTCTGTTCCTTCTGTCTTTGTTACAATAGAAGCGTCTATATGTTGCCAAGAACCAATGGGAGTTCAAATTGCTTTGTTTTCTTCAGAAACAGCTCATGGCGTCTCTTCTCAACAAGAAGATCGACATTTTCCCTGATTCCTTACGTAACGTAGCCGCTGAACGTGTTGGTGCATCCAACACGATTGGCATGAAAGCTTTGCAAGATCTGGGTTTGTTCAGTGATATAGTCGTGGACAGGCATGGAAGTGCACTCGACACTTTGGCGCCGTATCTTTCTAAGGTAACATAGATAATTATCAAGGGATTAGGAGTATTCCATGATCATCCTTTTTCAGATTCTTGCATTCCAAGAAGGCGAACGTGACCTCGTTATTCTTAATCATGACATAGGAGTCCGTCTTCAAAGTATGTTTTTTTGGCTTCAGGACTTACGTTGTTGTTGTCAATAGTATAAGATTCTGAGTTCAAAGTAGTGCGTACAAAAGATCTGCGCATCAAAAAATACCTTGCCTTGTTATGCAAATTGATGGAAGATAGTCTTTAACATATAGATTCTATGTCCGGTCTTCTTGAAACTTGAGCATTCGCAAAATGTCTTATGCTGCTCAGCTGGGCCGGATATTACAGTATCGCCTCATTCGGTCGACTTTCAAACAAATCGTCGTCTCTGGGATCTTAAAGTGATTCAAAGCTCTTGGTCTGTAGCATACCCCGTTAGGGCCCTGACGCACTGAGGCACTTGCGAGAACTCCTAGGAACCTGAAAATCCCAGTGGAATGACTAACCTTTTGCGAGTCCAACGAGTCGTAAAATGCGGAATAGCGGTTATTTCAAAATATACAAAAAAGGATGAAGGGCGAAAGTTAACTTGAAATGACCATACACTCATTCCGGGGTTCAGCTTTGGATTTGAGTGCCGAAATGTGACCCTTACAGTATCTTCTTGGCACCGATTTCCTTCTCATAGGCTAGTATTTTGCATGGTGTTGTACAGGTGGGGCAGAACATATAGAAGGAGTTTTTCAACAGTTTTATTGAAAAACCGTGAAATACGGTCTGTTAACCCACCTGCACCTGATGATAGGTATAATTTTAAAATCACTAGCATTAGCTGAGTTTTCACTCCCGTCAGGTAATTTATGGATTCGCTATATTAAATCCTGGTATGCTTAGGTATTTCGCTTTCTCAGGCTTTCTGACATTAGGTAAAGTACATTATCATTTCTTTCCAAGTAGAACCTTTTTTAAGGTGGTAATATGGAGCGTCACAGAGTAAGTTTGGTAGCTTACGGAGACCCGAATGGATTCTCAGCAATGGCTCGTACTGTTGGATATACGTGCGCTGTTATATCGCATATGGTCCTTCAAGGTGAGTGCTCGAAAGTTCTTCGATAACTTCTGTTAAACAAAATGCTGAGCTCCTTTTTTATTTGGAAACGGAGATTTCAGTATTTCCGGTTTCTTGTTTGCAAGGAACTGGGAGTTTCCTCACAAATAGGCCCTTGTCGACAGAGTCGGATACTTGCTGTGTTTCAGGAGAAATTCAACGGCCTGGAATTCTACGACCTGTAAGTAAAAAAGTCTATCGCCCAGCTCTTATGCGACTTGCTGACTACGGTATCAAAGCAACATCTACTGTTACTCCAATGTAAAGCCTTAGCAACGATAGAGATCTCTAGCGCAAGTGCGATCTCGCAATGCTTTGGAGGTTTAGAGGTTTTAGATGATTTTCAATGTGTTCACTTATTCTTTCCAATGATTTATGCTTGCCTTTCATTTGTTCTGGGGTTTTCCTGCTGGTGAGAATTTTCTTCTTCGAAATCATATCCTTTGTTATCATCTTGGATTACGCTTTATGATTGATTTCAACCTTTTCAATTTTAATGAAGATAAATGATTTCTGAACATCAGGAATGTTCTAAAATTGTATGGATTTTTGATTTTGGGTTCATATCCTCTATGCTGTAATCGAATCCGTAGGCTATTTGAAACGTAATTTCTGAGTATTTAAAATTCTCTAATAAAGAGTTAAACCTATTGTAGTGGATGAACGGTTGCTAAGTGCTTTGTGTATCGGCTCCTTTGCACTTCGCCAGCCAGCTTACAACGCAGTGTTTGAGGAAGTTGGGTGAGTTTATCGATTTCCTCCCACATCGCGATCAGCCGCTTGCTTTCGTGACTTTACTATTTGGCTCTTTATTGCTGTCTTGTTGCTTGCTCCTCATATCTTTCAGTATACTGGGCAGTACAAATGTATTGTAAGTAAATCTTTATGAGCAGTGATTTCTGAATTACAATTTGGCTCTACATTTTTTTCTTTTTTTTGGTATGGATCTTGGCACGACACATTTTCTGACATTTTTTACATTTTCAAAAGTAAAGGTGAAGGAGGGAAGGGGCAGGGACGGGGACGAAGGGGGGAGGGGAGGGGAGGGGGAGTAAGGATGAGAGAACTGGGTGTAGAAATTTGGGAAATCTTGCAAAGAATTAGTTTATTCCACCAAGCTATCCAAAGTACTCATGGAAACGCTATTAGTCCTGCCAGTCACAGTTACCCGGCGACCTCACTCTGTGTTTTTCAGATTTGCGTTCATGTGTTTTCACCTTTGTTGGTAATAATTGAGAAACAACAGTCGTTCTTCAGATCGGCCTCATTAGTAAGGAACTATAGTGTACATGGGCAACCTGGTTATAGTCACATGTCTTCCCACAGATATGGGTCTATCAACTGTCCAACGAGTGATTTTTGAAAAAAAAAACTAAAACTCCCATTACAGATTTCTCTCACATCCATAAGACTGCAGCAGGTACATACTAGATAAGGGGTCGTGCTGCTGCATTAACTCTGAAACAGTAGACGAGTTTAGATCCAATTTTAATGAGTTTGATCATCATTTGGATTCATTTTTCTCGTAGTCCAGAGTGACATCTGTTCACCTCATTCTTGTTCCACTGGCAACCATCATATGCTTGGTTTCTGGTCCGCCTCTCACCCAGGTTAACAGAACCTTTCTTCCTCGAGACTCTATATTACTTTACAGAAGCTGCCAGGTTATGAGATATCAATGTACTAGCCTAACTGCCTTTTGGCTTCACATATTAGGCAACCAAAAAGTTCGTGCGGTTTTTTCTAATTGCTATGGTATTTGTATTGTTCACTATGAGCTCCTACTAAGTGGACAAATCATTACTGCTGAGATGTACTCAGCTCAATTAGACAGAGTTTCGGTTGCTCTTCGCCAAAAACAACCAGCTTTGGCGAACAGAAAAGGTGTTGTATTCCACAGGAACAACGCCAGACCGCACACAGCAAGAATCACGCGGGAAACGGATACGGATAGCACGTTTACAATGGGAGATTCTGCGTCACCCTCCACCGGATCTTGCCCCAGGCGACTATCTCCTTTTTTAATCCTTGGATGATCACATAAGGAACCGGCAGTTTCAAAGTGGAGAAGAGCTCAAAAGGGAGTTAAATCAATTTTTTAGCTCCAAAACTCAAGACATTTATAAAATTGGAATATACCAGCTTGTTTCACGATGGGGATAAGTCTTTCTTGCTGAAGGATACCATTTTCGAGAATAACCTTTAGTTAAACCTTTTTTTTGTGTTTTTATTTAACCACTTGCAGTACCGCAACTTTTTTGGTTACCTGATATTTATCTATTGCGCAATCGAACTGCGCATTTCACAATTTTTAGAGTACCCAATCAACTTCGAAGGGTTTTCTGAAGGCAGCTAATCAACTTCTTCCTTTTTTATTTTGATCTAGGTCAACACTTCTATCATACTTCTTAAAGAGAAAACATGCTTGGGCTAGGAGCAGGAGCAGAGCATCAGGAAAACGAATCGAAGTCGGATATGGTCAAAAGACCATGGCCGTTTCCAGGAAAAGGAAAGATTTTATCAAAGCCTAAATGCTTCTACGGAGCCTGGACATGACCTCGATCGGCAACCAGAATGTTAGATATCAAAATCAAAAATCTTGGCTACCAACGTGAGTTAGTTGTCTGTGGAAAAGTAATGTTGAATAGCCTGTTTTCTGATTTTGTTGAAATTAGAGGGCCAACTATGTAGACCTTGAAACTTTCTATGTTGACCTAATAATATTACCAATCTTGAGCAAAATACGTTATCCACACCTTCATCAATACGAAGAGGGGGAGATAAAAACCTCTCGTAATCAAAGCCCTTTCGCTTTTGCAAATTTCATACGACCATAATTACAATTCAGTTGGATCATCAAAGGAGAACGCTAGGCTCACAAACCGGTGACATAGTCAAACAGTTGCTCATGTTTAAATAGTCATGATTCACACCTGCAGAATGATGGAACACTGGCCAATTCTTATGTATGTACGCCAATGATTCGCTATTTTTTCGTCGACTTCTCCTCTGATTTGATTCTATGTGATCGCAAGATCTCGTGCTTCTGCAGGATTCGCATTTTTCTCAGGTTTAGGTCGATATTTCTGTTCTATCGAGCACCTTCATGTTCTGAATACTGAGCAGTCAGTCAGTAAGTCGATAGCATCGTTTCCCTTTTCAACAAGGCTGAAGTTAAGCCATGCACTACACAGAGCTGAAGTATAAGAAGTAGGTTATTGCAGAATCTCTTGAAATAGACTTGACGAGATCAGCTTGTCCACAAAATCTGAAGCACTTGGTAACATCGAGTCGACGAAGCACCAGAATGAAGGCATCGCATTCGTCGTCCTGCCACAACTGCTATCCTGGCCCTTATAACGGCAAAAGAGAAATCCGAACCGAATGGCATATAGTATTCGTTTTGTTCGAATTACAGAAAGGATCATCGTGGTGGAAAAATGTACTGATCGTAGGAGTGAAAGCTTCTTTCGTTCTAAGGTTCATTTCACCAACGAAGATAACTGAGTTTTTGAGTCACAATGTGCTGATCTATCCGTAAAGACGTTGAAAAAGAACTCTGTCAGCATGCGAAATTCTTAGTGCATCTGTCTCCATACATTTCTGCAGAAGTTTGATTCAGTTCAATTCACGGTTCAATCAATCTCCATTCAGAATCGTAGCAGTGTTTTGAAAGTCAGTGGTGGCCGGTTTGGTTGGCCTGGGCGAGTATTGACGATCGGGTATCCACGATTCCTGCCTGGCTCCTGTGTATGGTAGTGTGCATCACTTGCTACTGCACCACCTCTCTCCCAGCTCATTATGATTTGAGGAAAAACTGCTTGAGATTTTCACCCATAATGACCCTAATAATGATTGGTCTACACATCGCTGAGTACTCGAGACCAAAAGATTAGAGATCGAAGAGATGTCTTACCATTCCTAAATAAGGTGTATCGGGTAGAAGGTTTAAAAAATTATACGATACTTACGGCAGTCGATATACCACGCCGGTTCCTTCGAGTCTCTGAAGCCTTCTGAAGCTAGTTTACGGATGAATATTTTGTCTTTACTAGGAAACAAATAATTTCCGAATATAATTCGTGCTATAGTTTACAAGGGTAATACGGGTTCACATTAGTGTCCACTTTCCCAAAGTCCTACCATTCATACCGTGAAACTATGTAAAGAGGGGGTGAGAGGCCTAGACACGACCAGCACTGGTGGTGAGTAGTAGTTCTTGATTCCTTCAATCTTTTGAATTCGAGTGCGATGAGAGAGAGCAGAAAATGTAGTTTAAACGAATATTCCACCAAGTAGAGGATTTTCAGTACTGCATTCGTAAGATCTTTAGAGTATTAAACCACATCGTCAATCTGTCTCTAACAACGCGAACCTTTTATTGCAAACTATTTTTGCTAGTTGAAGAGCGCAATCATCTACTTAGTTTTCAGAACGACATCCTTCAGAAAAAGATGTCATTTCCGTTGTCCGCTGGTCGAGGAGTTACACAGGTCATTGATAGATGCGAGGTAGCCAAGGAGTCCGGCTTTCTGGGTACGCTGTGCTTTTGAAATGTTCCTTTGAGAGTATTTCCAAGCACTCTCTTCATAAGTGTATATGAATATGATAAACATCTCTGCTGGGAGATTTTTTATACTAATAGCGCATCAGCAATGAATGATGTGTGGCATCAAAAGTGTTGGAAGATAGTAAAGGAACAAAGAAGTGAACGGGGCAAACCTTCGTTGATTATCAGTCGACCGCCTCCCAAGCCATACATTTGAAGTTCATCAGAAGTAGGAGCAGAATCTACATTTCGTTGGTTTACCATTGTAATTAAGAACCATTGAATTCCGGATGACTTGCTGGAAAAACCTCGCTCGATGAACAATAAAATGGCCTCCGAAATTTTTGTTTAGCATAGAACTGTAACCGTCAAGGATAGCACAAGGGACTGTGTCCGAACAAATTACTGCCTAGAAAGGGCTAATATGCATCAAGACAGGTTTAGGCGTACAGCTACGGTCACGGAGTTCCTTGCTCTCCATGTCAAGGTAGCGTAAGAAAGGAATTTTTGTCATCTCCATCATGCGCTGATATTTTCAAATGGCTCAACTCGATCGTTGTCGTGGTGTCATGAGCATGATGGCGATAATGCTCTGCTCAGAAAACTCACTCATTGAAAATGCATTCGGTTAGAAGTGAAATATTGAGGGGTAAAAGCTTGTATGTGTAGGGCACAACAGTCAGAATACTTAAAGGCACAGTTCACGATAATTTTGT